CCAGGAACCCGAGGGTGCAGTGCGCAAGCTGTTGGGTGCTAACCGGACCGTGCATGGCTGCTTTGGGTTGGACCCTGAGCGCAGTGGTGGAGGGGGGAGCGGAAGCAGGCCAGCGCAGCCAAAAGCAAACTCATCCACAAGGCATCGCTGAAGCAAAGTTTTATAATAAAAGCCATGTCTCCCGTTTCAAAAAGAGAGAGGGAGGGAGGCGGAGGGCAGTGTTTCCAATGACGGCAGCAACGGATGCGCACACCCGAGCGGCACCGTAGAAGCGCCTGGGAGACGCGGACTACGTCGAGCCCCGGCCATCGGCAGGAGCCACATGATGGACCTCTCTCTGCCTAGAATGTCAAGCTCACCAGGCATCTGCCGTGTCGGAGGAGCGCCCTGTTGCCTGGGGAGTCTGTAACCAGGCGTTTCATCTCCTCCGCGCTCAGCTCAAAACACGCAGGTGTGTCCGCTGGACAAGAGTGGGGATTCCCAAAGTATGGGAGTCAGGAAAAGTGAATTCTTCTATTCTGCTTAAATGTTCTGTTCCTCATTTTGGGGCTTGCCCTCCTGTGTCTTCATTATATAGAGCCACGTCTTTGCTGCCGTGCCTTTTCAGTGTGTTGTGCTCATGCAACCAGACTGTTCTGTGTAAAATAAATGTCCAGCTGGGAGAAAGATGCTGGCGTCTGCACCCACTAAGGTGATGGCCTGGCCAGCCCTAGGGGGAAGGTAGGTAAGTCTCTTCTGTCCTATGGGATGAGGCAGACTTGACTCCAGGCAACACATCAGAAGCATGGCCTTACCCCAGGTGGTTGAGTCTACTAGGCACCACCTGTAGGAGCCTTGGTGGCATAATGGGATACTCGGGATGGCTACTCTCAAGGTCAGCAGTTCAAACGCACCAGGCGAGATTTGGAAGAAAAGGGAGGCTTTCTAACCCTCGGAAACCCATGGGGCTTTGTGCAGACCTAGACGGTCTCTATGAGCGGGCAGTGAGTCTCGTGTGAGGCACCGCCTGTGGGAAGAGGTCCCCAAGGGGCCATAGCCCTTGCCCCTCGAGGTTCTCCCAGCGTGGTCTCTGATCAAGTCCATCAGGCTAATCCGTGACTACCTTTATCAAAGGAATATACCCCACCTGTGAGAGTGGCTCTCCACCAGCAGCTCAGAGTAGAACCACTGCATTATGTATGGAGCAGTGGGGCCGTTAGGGTCGCTCCCCTTTAGAGGGCCCTGTGAGAGTGCACTCGGTGACACACATGACCCTCGCAGGAACGCTGGCTGGCTTGTGGACTGGGTAGTGGGCTGCAGCCCCCTTGGAGCAAAGGTCGGCTTGTTCCTCCGGCAGTAGCGTGTCTCTTGACCTAGATTTCCCCTCTCTCCCCTCTAATCTTCTCTCATTTTATTCCTGAGCTCACCGGATCCCATTCTTGTCTTAATGAACTTCTTCTTCTTTTTTTTTGAATGCCCATCTTCTGTAACCTACTTCAAATTCTTTATGAAGTAGGCCGGCAAATGAATCAAACAGGACCTACTTCTTATCATCTTAAAGTTATGAATGGAAAATAACAGGTAAGAACACAGGCATGAGGAATTGAATACAGCAAAAGCATTTATTAAGCTCGGGATGCATGCACAGAACCTTCTGAACGGAGAGAATCCAAACAGCCACCGACTTCTAAGATGGACAGCAAGACAATGTTGCAGCAATGTGCCACGGCGCTCAGATAAGTAAGTCCATTGAACTCTCTCTTACCTCTGCAATCCTAAGTGCAGTTAAGGAAGTGAGTGGGGAAGGGCACGATCCCACTCCCCTCTGTGCCTCCCTTCGTTCACAGACACACAGGCTACTTGTCCATGGGCTTGGTGTGAGGCTTCCGGGCTGCTGCTCTTCCCCCTACATCATAACCGATTTCAAATGGTGCTAGACAAAAACAGACTCTGAACACCAGGAGAAATCGGTCAGCCTGTGTAAGAGATGGGTCCTTGGTGCCGCTGGGCTCTGCGCCTCGACCGCACAGGTGCAGGTGTTAGGTTCCAGGTGCCTCTCGTAGCAGCACACGCTGGGCAGTGTCCAGGTGAAGGGGTACTTGGACTTGGATAAGATAGTCCTCCAGGTGGACAGCCCTGTACCCTGCCCATTCAATACCCCACACAGCCAACCTGATCAAGAGCTCTATTAGAGCTGTTTTACCAGATTGTCCGCCGAGGGGTTGCCCCCATCCACCACTGCTGCTTCTGCTCAACCCTGAACCCCTTTTAAATGCCGTCTGACCCCACCACTGATGCTCCCCGAACCCAGCCAACCCAGCAGTGCTTCCCTGGTCGAGCTGGCCCACTCAGGGAGAGTAGAGGAGCCCAGCCTCTACAGGTGATTGGTTGCATCTTCGGCCTTCGTCGTCCGCCCTTGGCTGTGCTGCAATTCTTACTCCTAAAACACTGATTTCAAATGGTGCTAGATACAAAGATGGAAAAATCTAAGCCACCATGTGAAACCAGCTTCCAGAAGAAGAGGCTCTCACGGGCAGAAGAAGGGGGACGCGCTGTCCGTCATGAGGCAGGCTGCTGATAAAGGTGACTCAAGGTCCTGCTTGTGCCGGGTCCCCGAGAGGCCTGGGGTGGGGGGTGGGCTTCCAGGGAGGGAGGTTCCGAGCACCTTCAGAGTCATGTGCACATTTTGAACGGGTGCCAGTGGCACAGTACTCGGTAACTCTTGGTTAACTGTTTCATTTCAGAGCTCGTCAGGACCAGGTCTTCTCTATGGGATGAAATAAAATAGGCAAAGCTATCATTCAAAGGCACTGATATCGAGATTCGAAGCACCCTGTGTCTGTGTAATGTTCCGCAGTATGCATTTTCAGATGCATCCCCTCCCTGACTGCAGGAAACCACCACCCTGGAGGACTGAGGCTCTAGCCGCTACACAAGGGTGAACATCACCTGGGCCAGGATGACAGCCCTCTCATGTGCCGCACCCAAGATGACACGGGTGCCTCCTTCCCAGCCCTCAGATAAATGTCACTTAAATGACCCCCCATTCAAACCCACCGCTGCCGTGTAGTCAATTCTGTCGCACAGTGGCACTACAGGACTGCCCTGTAGGTTTCCAAGGCTGCAAATCTTTATGGGGGCAGACAGTCTCATCATTCTCCTGAGGAGCTGCTGGTGAGTTTGAACCACTAACTCTGCAGTTAGCAGCCCAAAGCGCAATCCACTGGGCTACCAGGGCTCCCTTTGATTGGCACAGTGATCTTACTTCACATCCAGGGTGCTTTTTGACAACAACAAAACCTGAATGGTACCCCAACACTGTACACAGTGGGCAATTTTCTGATACAGGAACTTATTTTTGTTTTCGGTATTTGCCTCAAAATAAAACTTACAAACTATGTTCCTCTTTCCCCTTCCATCCTTTTTGGTTGTTTGAGGTGGGGCAAATCTGCCTGTAATTCCAATGGCATCGCCACGGAGAGAAAGGAGCCGCACAGCTGTGGCCGAGGACGGCAGGCCCCTCCCCGCTGCTGTGGGCCTCTCTGTATAGGCCTGTATGCTGAATGCTGTATGCCTTCGGAACAAGACAGCAAGAGATGGGAAGGAAATAAAATTTGAATACCCAAAGCTGTGCTAATTCTGACAAGACTCCCACCAAGCAGGAAATAGCTCTTTTGGTGGGGAGAGGATGATATCGATCTTTACGGGGCTGTAAGTTTGTCCGCAGGCCCAAGGCTAATAAATGGTGTGGATCTGAGGTCCGGCTCCCGAAGTCTGTGTTCCTCCCGCTCTCCCGCTCTGCTGCTCTGCTCTGCCCAAGGCCCGAGGCTGCAGCCTTGCAGCTCATGTTGTGTGTGAGCTTAAAGGTGAGCTAGAGTGAGGAGGGGAATTCCCAGCCAGACTTTGCATGAG